ATATATATATATATATACACACATAAAGAGCCCATGGTTCCAAGCTGGGTGGGCCACAGAGTTGGTCTGGATGCTGTGAAGAACAGAAAAATCTTGCACTGCCAGGAACCAAACCTGGGCCATCCAGCCTGTAGCCCATCACTATACTGACTCCCAGACAGAAGTTAATTATGACATACAGTAAACTCTAATTAAACATACACCTGTGGAGGGGGGAACACACTTTTATATCACACAATACGTTCTGGGAAAATATTCTGACATCTACTTTACATTAAATGTTTCTACTTAGACAGTGACACTAGCAGAAATGATTAATTGTACAGTTAGTGATCCACATAGAAATATGAAGCTTTGTGTTCTGAGGTGTGACGGCAGGTACAAGTGTTTCAGGGCAACATGCTGCTGTCAGACAGAGGCAAACAAATACTTAATTCCACTAATATTTTCTTATAATATACAAGGCATTATCTTACATTAAACTTTCACATGCTCTACCACACTCCTTCTCTGTTCTGCAGTAATGTACTGTTCCCATAAAACTCAGGTTTGGATTCTCATTTGTGTCATGGGTAAACTGTTCGTTTTCTCCCTCTGCATTCTGAAATGGAAATCTGGCATATGATCTATGTTTGGTAAGAATGTGATGTTATCCCAGGGCTTAATTAGCTCCATGCCATGAAGACATATGAGACATGGAGATCAGTTGTCAGCTTCATGCCCCGTTGCACTATCCCCAGACAAACAAGTCCCCAGTACTGTAGCCACCCCAGACTTCTAATTTGGGCTATAGTGACGTGATTTGATATATGGTGTAGCTCAGCAGTAGACTGAGATTCCTCTTGATACTTGCTTCCCCGGAAGGTGACATGTAGCAACTACAAAAGCACAATGTTTCACTGTTAACAGAAAATTCATTCATTTAGGCACTTGTTAAGATGTCATCAGGTATGACGCATTATTGTCTTACTTCTTACATCGGGAGTGGATCATATTGATAAAACTTAAATTATACTTGTAGACAAAG